AGTTTTTTCTTTTTAGTGCCAAGCCACTAAGCTTTCCTCTGGGAAGATAAGTTTTCTGATGGACAGTAAGATTTAGTCATTCTTTATTTACTTTTGATCTTTGGTTGAATTTTAGAATCGAAGCTCTCTATTTTCAGTTGTATGTCTTTGTGTCTATAAATGTACAATGTTTTCCAACCTCTAGATGATATTGATGAGTTAGACTAAAAAGTCTCTTAAAGGTATTTATTATAGTTGGTTTATAGAGATAAATAAAAATGTATATCAACTGAATATTCTTAACATTTTTTTTTAAATGAGGGAATTTGGGGCCAGGAGGATGTGTAGTGTTGAGGCACTGGACTCCCACATTGATAGCCACAGTTTGAGTCTTGGACTCAGTGGCCTGAACCTCACACCAGGCACATGTGCATGTGTGCCCCAAATCCCAGGAGAATGGAGAGGAAGGGATGGCATGTTCACCCCCTGAGGGGCAGTGATTTCCCACTTTTTCTCTCTCTGTCTGTTTCTGTGTCTCTGGCGAGTGCACATGTTCTACAGCAAAAATCCCTCTAAAAAAATAAGGAAATTAAATTGTAATTCTTTGAATATGTAAAAAGCTATATTTTTATTTAAGCCAGTTTAGAAATACTTTAAAAATTCAAGAGAACATAATACAGATACATCCTTGGCAAGTGAGACTAGTTTAATATTTTTGATTTAATTGAAGTAGGTATATATTCTCTGATTTATCAGTATTAAATATAATAAAAGCCATATTTATTATCCACCTCCTATTTTTCTCTGTGAAATCCAAGTTACTTTACTTAAAAATTATAAGAACTCTAATGAATAAAAGTAAACTAGGACCAATAGTAGCAGAGAAGTACAACTTTGTGAAATGATGAGATATGTTTTATTTATTAAGGATAAAAGAATAATTTTGTTCTAAAGTGGAATGACTATTCCAGAATAAGAAAGAAGGTGGTGATAGACAAAATATAAATGTATTAGAAAGTTGCAGAAGGTTCATAGAAATGGAATTGCACTTGCTTTAAATTATAGTGTATATAAATATTGAGTGTGAAAACATTATGTAGCATGTTAAAATCTTAACAAAGTTTGCTCAATTTTGATGGGTTTCCTTTCTTTATTTACTGCTTATTGCCTTGACCTAGATTATGTAATTTGGTATAATCTGCATATATTTGTGTTTAAGATGAAAAATATTCTATGTTTTATGTATATTTTATTATGTCATGATTATTTAAGAAAACAAAGGCTTCTCACTTATGGAAGAGCTAAATTTCTTTACAGACATGTTATTTTCAATGTTTTTAAAAATGCTTTAAACACATAGACAAGTATTATTTCTATTTTATGTAGTCAAATTTCTTAACAACTGTGATTTTAATTTTTTTCTACCTTCCCAGAGATGAATCGTAAATGTGGAGTAAAATAAAAATGAAACAAATTGTCATGACATTTTTTTGAGCTTACAATTATCTTTGAGATTTCCTGAGGGCTCCTGGAAAATCATAAAGGATTCTTATACCTTATAAAAGAGAGATGCCATAAATAATTAGATTTATTTGGAATTTTAATGTTTTGAGTTTTATAGAAGGAATTGTTAAATCTGAACAGTTGCTCTTTTCCTTGGTTCAATTTCTTTGAGTATACTGTCATTAACACAAGATTTTGAAAATTATGGAAATAATTCATTTAAGTATGAATTTATTTTGGTACCAAAAATTTGAAAGCCATGCATAGTTTTTTAATCACACACATTTCCCATGAACTTTTGGAAACCCCTTCACTTAAGGAAATTGCATATTACATGGTATATTTTTAGCAAGGTATCAATACTCTAGTTCCCCAAATATGTCTGTACACATCCGAGTTTGTGTCTTGGTTTGTCTCATGATGGTAGGCAACAATGGTGTCTTGGTCTTTGTCCATACCTGATCTGATGTACTTTGTTATCTCTGAGTATTCTTGCTTCCATGACACTGTCATTGTTTGCAAAGGTACAATAAGAATTTGCCATCCCTTCCAGGATATAATTGGTTCTATATAAGTTCTTGTCTGGAAAGTCCTATTTAAAAATGATCATCATTTAATCACATATGACCAATGACTTTTGAAAAAATTAAATTAAGCTTTTTTCAAATTAAAGCTTACAAAGTTATCTTATAAAAATTGGCCTTATATCTGGCTTTTAGAGTTCTCAGCCTTAAAGTGAGTGAGGAAGCTTTCTTTCAGACAGACCCAGGATCTCACAATATTTTGAGGATCTTGAAAACTGAGGAAATCACCAAATTTAGAGGTGCTGTAAATATAATCAGATGAAAAGAGTTTCTGCTTGGTTTTCTAGTCTAAAAAAGCTATGAAAAAATCCAATTCCTCATGAAAGTCTCCAGCACTGTAAACTTAAAAAGGTCTATGTGGCAAATTAACACTTCTGCTGTGCTAAATCAATAATCGGGCTAAGACTAATGATACCAATCCTATTGTGTAGTCAAGAAAAATATTAGATATTAGTTTTGATCAAAAGAGAAGACACTTTGGAAAAGAAATATACTTCAATGAAAACTACACATGGTTTCTAGCACACTTTCCTGAACTGACTAAATTTAGTGCTATTCATTATACTCAACTATGTTGCACCTCTTTATTAATTATAGGTTCCTAATATATAGGTAAACTGCCTTTTCTGGGGAGTTTTCATCGACTTTCTCTCTGCTTTATGTGAGAAAAACAGTTTTATATTCATTTGAAGTTCAATTCCCTTATTCCATATAATGTGTGGAATTTTTTCACTTTTCCTTCTAACTGACAAATATCTTCCAGGTTTGCTCATATAAGAAAATCCAAAACTTTAAAGTATTTTTTTGCATCTATATGATAGTTTGATCCTTATCATTTTATGACTATTATATTTTAACAGTACAGTAGGCTCTCCATATTGATGGATTCCATGTCTACAGATTCAACCAACTAGTTAGAAAGCTTGGTTGAATTTGGAATGAGGAGCCCACAGATATAGAGAACTGCTTATATTACGCCATTTTTTAATGAGGAACTTGAGCTTCCATGAATTTGCGTATCTGCGAAGAGTCATAGACCCAATCTCCCATAGATACTGAGAGACCACTCTACTACTACACAATGAACAATTACTGATCATTGGTGATGTTCCATATCTGCCCTTATGTTAAGCCCTTAAGGATTTTTTTTAAAAAGTTTCTTTCATTTTTCCATGAGTGAGAAACGAAGAAAGACAGAGAGATAGGCACCCCCAACAGGGTCCCCACACCATGATCCATTCACGTCTTCAGTCAGCTTTGTAGCATGGGCATGCGTATGTCCAGCATGCTTAGTGAGGTCTCCAGATGTGAATAGCTGCACAGTGCATGGCAAATACCGACACGTCACCATCCACCTCCCACCTTCCTAAGTACTTTTAACAACAAACTAAATGAATAGTAATGAGAAAATTAAGTGTAAGAAAACTTTAGCCTTGTGAATATTCGATAAAGCATGGGTAAATTTTTAAATATTAAGTTAAATATCTTTTATTTTCTTTCAGATATTTAGAAAACCATCACCTTTATTAGTTGAGGAGTGATTTGCTAAGTACAAACACAGGATTTGTTAGATGTATCTTGCATTTGCCATCATCTCTCTTCCCAGGCCCTCTTCAAATGAACTGAGTGTTCTATTTGCTATCCTACCATTCGTGGAGCTCTCCCTGTCCTGCATGAATTTGTTAAATAGTGGTAACAGTTCTGATATTTCATCTGATGACTTTTTCTGTACTCCGGGATGATTTTCACTGGCCCTTGCTGATTTAAGTATCTTCATGCTATCTTCTTGTTCTTATCTTATGACCTCTCTCTATATTTCTTTCTTGGTAACCCTTGTTTTTCTAACTTTAGCAGCTTATCTTTTTTCTCAACAAGACTGCAAACCACATTTTTTGGTGTCGTTGTTGTTACTACTGATAACAATATTACTCTTGGAAAATTAAGTAACCCTAAAATATAGAGGAGAATACTGAGATTATTTTAACACAGATATAAATTTTGTTATTAAATATGTCTTATACTTTAGACACAAGATAAAATGTTCATATACACCATCTATCAATTGTCAACACTATGTGAAAAATGAATGCAAACAGTTTATAGTTTTAGTAATGAGGTAGATTACTCAAGCAAGCAGTAAACAGTCCAGTACTTAAATAGATATAAATGATATAGCTAGACATGGAGATACAGATCTAGATATGGATAAATGTGTGTGTGTGTGTGTGTTTATATATATATATATATAT